CAAACTATAAATTAAATACACCATACTTCCACATGCTGTTTTTCTAAACAGTCTGGATGCGGCCTTCTGTAATCGAACTCAGCAGTCAGCGCCTTCTGTTGCCCGGTATTAACAGAAGGAGAAGTTCAGCGCTGAAAACTCATCTGCACTTAAAGATGAGATGGGGAATTATCTGCTTCTCCTCTGTGTGCATTTATGAGTGATTGCACAAGAGAGAGTGGGATTACAGAATGGGAGAAATTGGATTTAAGCTCATATCACATCAGGTAAACTTTAACATTTGTCAAGGCTTTATAGAGAACCTGATTATTCCTCATAAAGAATGGATGTGAATGTGGTATGCGTGCCATAATACACAATGAATATTTTATAATGCTGGGGAAAAGGTCAGTGTGCTTGATTAGAAGTGCGGTGTTCAGAGCCTAGTAGATGAAAACCACACAATACGCGTCACATTTCCAATCCTGTACACTGTAGCCCCTTAAGGTTTCATTCTCGCAGGTGAAACCAGTCATCTGTTTCTCTGAAAAATCCCGTGCTGTCACCTTTGACAGTGTATTGCGCCTGCTTGAGAAATCCAGGGAGGTAGCTGGAAAGGCAGCTCTCCTGCTCTCATACTGAAGGGATAGACGAGTGAGGCGCCGGCTTTTCCAGCATCGAGCTAATCTGAATTCAGTCAGCAGAGTCCATCTATCCCGAGGTGAATGGCCACAGACACGGCTCCTTCCAAGGACTGGAATTATTTCAAAAGGAGACGTCTGACTCCCTGTTCATGCTTGTGACTCTGCACAAGTGCACATTACAGAGATACATATAGGTACAAAGGAGGAGAGAATAAGTAGGTAGCACTACTTAAAGCTTGCATGAGAGAGAAGAACATTGAGCTGTGAAGTGGGTTGCTCCAGCTCAAACAGCCCGGGGCTGGAGGGTGACCTGACAGGTTTCTTTGGTAAGACAAAATGGGTGAGATCTCTGAGCTTATTTCTATGTAAATGCAGTTTTTTTGTTTTTACTAATGATCAGCCTTTTTCTGAGGAAAGTATAATCAGTTTTACACCAAGATGAATAATTTTTTTAGCGTGGAACTAACTGAACTAATAGGGCTGACTCAAATGTTAAATAAAGTTTTTATGAGCAAACCTGCAAAGTACAGTAAATTATTCGGTCCATATTTGCGGCTAATCAGTACTGACATAATCATGGCCAAATGCTTTAATGTAATATATCTTGTTTTAGCTCTTTAGTTCTTCAGCATTTGGTATATTTTCAAAAGCAGCTCTGACCTGAATGATCTGTCGCAGCAGAAAACCTCTAGCAGGAAACGAAGGAGCTTTCATTATTTTATTAATTTAAGTTCATACTTGTAATTAAAATTCAGCTCGTCACAGGTTTCTGGCCGGCATTTTGCCATTTCATTACATTGGCTTTCTTAATGACCATTTTCTCTGCAACAGTTCATTGCTCCATATTGGGAGGCCCTCCTTGATGGTATGAATTTCCCTTTTTACAAACAGTGACCTTGTTTATGTCTTCTGGGTTGCGACAGCAGATACGCACATAAAGTACAAGCCAAGATGAAATAGATACCATGGGCCTCGTTGTTGCCCTTTCCCTTATGTTACTTGTTCTTTTTTAGATGCATAATCACCACCAAAATGTGTTTCATTTGACTTGTATATTTTATTTTCTAATAAACAATGTTTGGTATAAAGTAATTACAGGAATAACAACAAATTATTATGAATACGTTTCCTACTCGAGTGCCCACAGGAGGTCCCAGCTGTTGTTATTTTGCACATCCTAATAATGTTGTAATCTATTCCCTGATGCTTCTCATTCTGCTTGTCACATCTGTTCTCACCTTTATATAACCTCAGTTTAGGATTTCCCTGCTTACATTCTATTTTTGTATTTAGTTTCTACTTTTGTCTGGTTTACTACTGTCTGATTAGTTCACAGTGTATTTGCTCATTTCCCCCAGGGGGGATCATTAAAAAATGAGTTCATCCAAATTACACACATTTATAGTTTTCCTCTGACAGTTGACTGCATATTTTGTGGATTAGTCATTTCTGGAAAACCTCTTCACAGCAGGGTCAGGTGAACATGCAAAAACCTGAAATGTGTCAACAAACAAGCTTGCAATTGAATATGCCCAGGGTAAAAGACTAAGCTTCCATTTATAAATGACTAATAACTGAATATTTGGGTTTGAATAGAGCCACTCTTTCAAGATAATTCCTTTGAAAGTCAACAATTGCTAATAAATTCAACTAACTCCTATGAACTGTGTGGGAGTTGGGCATATGCAAACTTCAGGGGATACAAATTGAACATTTTCCTTGGCTCAGTGTTGCTTGGGATAAGTGAGACAAGACGCGTTTTCCAATACACGTACTTCTCTGTACTTGTGGACTTGTAAAATGTCATCGGTCACAGCCCAAGTGCTGGTCCAGTTCAGTCTGCATCGGGCCAAGTGCACATAAAAAAACCAGGTGTTCTTGCTCCACCCATTTTATAGAGGATGCTTTGGAAGCTTACTTGCGCAGACTTGGGGCAGCTTAAGTATCCCAAAATGCACTGTGTGCCAGCTATCGGAGTTTGAGCCAGGCCCAAAGCTTGTTATAAATTTTGTCCTCGGACTGATGTTATATTGCTTTAAAACGTTTTGATATTCTTTCAGGTGAGAAAGTAGCCATTTAGTCTGAGAATATGTGGTCAGTTTATCAAAATAATGTCATTTTATTTCTCCAATGTTTTTGAAGATTACCTGCTAGGGGATAAGCTATAATTAGCAGGCAACTATAGGTCATTCAAAGCAGAGCCTGTTGTCAAGGACGCTGGTGTTCCAATTGCACAATGAGAGTAGTGCGTCCTCCTGTCCTCTGGGGTTTGTACTTAGTTTCAACTTACCAAGTATGAGCTCTCAAGTGCAGGAGTCCAAACTTGGTAAGGATAATCACCTTTACTGGCTAAGGAATTTGTTTCCGGTACAGAACGAAGGCAGCCATCTGCAGCGCCAACTCACATCGATGGCTCTAAGCATCAGGAGCAACTTGGGGGTTCAGTGTCTTGCCCAAGGACACTTCAACACATGGACTGCAGGCACCGTGATCTGAACCTCTGTTGGGAGACGACTGCTCTACCCACCGAACCACAGTCGCTCCCATGTAATTGTTGTCAACCGTGTACTTTCCCGTCCTCTAGAGCTGGACAGTCCTGAGAAACTCAGGTGTACTTGGTATTGGAAAATGCCTAATATGTATATTTGTGCTTTGGGTGAACTAACCCTTTAAAGTTTCACCTGATCTCAGGCATAGTTTTTCACCACATCCTAATATTGTTGGTAATGAGGCATGATCTGGGCTATCTGCATAACTGATAATTAATTTTTTAATGCGATGAATCATCATGGGATCATGTTCTTGCAGTTCAAGCATGAAATTAGGGTGATTAATAGTGTAATTATATCAAAACTAACATTTCTCGGATCCCCTGTTTCTAGAGATGTCAAACCTCTGTGCCACAGCAGAGATTTATTATCAAATCGGTGACAGGGCGTAACAAAGCGAACAGTGCCATGTATCAAAAGATGGTGATGACTGTGAACAACCAGCAGTAGCCTAGTCACATCAGGCCTTCATCTCATCCATCTCTTGCTCCATTACTGAAAACGATGGTTTGATTACCCAGGCATTTCTTTTTTTTCTCCCTTTCTCAGTCCGGGGAGGGAAATTATTTTATTGACTGACTTGGATTCCCGAGGCAGAAGGCTGTCTCATCAGAAAATGAGGCAGGCCTTTATGATTATGTCCCCCCGGCAGGAAGTTCAATTCGCCAAACTTTGAATATGAAGCACTGCTCACAAATCAGGCAGGAGATTATCATCCTAACGGAAAACACACAGGCCCTTGTCGAAGAACGGGAATAATAATAATTGAAATTGGTATCGCTGTCAGAATTTAACACCACTGTAAACTCACTGGTGAATGATTCTTTTTCTTTGTTTTTGTTCTTCGCTGTTTTAATTCTGCTTTTGCTATAGTTTTAAAGTCACTCTTAGCTCTGGTAGATTTTGTACTGTATAGTGTTGTATGTTTTGTCCTTTGTGTGGTACTGGCTGTGCTGACCAGGGCACCCTTAGAAAAGAGGCTTTTAGTGGGATTTCCTCTGGTTAATTACTGGTTAAATAAATTAAAAAATAATCAATAATTAAGACCTTGCAGGTTCATATGAGATGCATTGTGTAAAATATGGCAAGATAATTGCAGTCAAGAAAAAGCTGATTTGTTGTTATAATGCATCAGACAACATACTGTATGACACAAAAGAAGAGAGACTCTGTCTAATGCTCAAAACAATGGGCCTTTTTCCTCTTTCTCAGATCTATTGTACCTGTGTATGTGTGGGTACATAGTGGATTTACAGCTTGACTTTATTTCTGCCCTTCATACAGATTTATGTGATCAGACCTCAGTGTCTAATGAGTTCATGTGAAACATCTTGTGGTCTTGGCCTCTTTTGTCCCCATTGGTCCTTACTGACAGGCTGGGTCTCTAATCTGTGCTGACGTCCACGTTATTTATTTATTTTTATCTTCCTCGCTTTTACAGCTCTTAACAAAAGCCTGTTGATTTAAGTACAGTATAGCTCAAACTTCCTCAGATTGTATGATGCTTATCTTATTGTCTTCTCCAAATTCAGCCCCAGTAATTTAAAATCGACTCACTGCATTGTTTTTATTGTTTGAGTAAAATCTACCTGGGTGGGCTGTGCACCTGCGTGCCTCAGCAGAGCAATTAATTATGGCTTTGCCAAAGCATGCGCGGCACAGCTGTAGCTGGAGCCTCCTCTTCGTGCGGGTCATGCCTTAAAAGTGCTGCTGTTTAAACCGCTCGTTGTTCTAAAGGACTGGGACAAGGTCTCACTGCAGTGGGTGCTGTTGGTTGGAGAGGCTGACTGAACTTGTGAGGAGAGGCGAGACAGAGAGCTGTGCGCTTTGTTCCCGGCAGAGTGCGTCCCGCTCTGCACGCACTCTCGCACACATCGGGGTTGCTCGACTTCCAGGCAGCGGACTGGTTTCTCTCTTGTAACCTACCTCCTGTTTACCGCGCATGAACAGTCCGAGGGACGCCAGCAGACCTTTACTACCTGTGCACTTTAAGCGTGCGTCAAAGAAACTCTTCATCTAATCGTTCCCCACCACCGGTGCTTTTGGATTACGGAGAATAACAAGCAGCGTGGACGCCTAACTCTCCGAATCATGGAATTATGGATAAAGTTCATGATGTTATGTAGCTTCTGCTTTGAAGCAAGTGCAGACTTTGATGGCAGGTAAGGGCACGTGGTTCACATTGTCTGCGAAAGCCGTTTTTAAAAAGATAACACTGGATTTGCTCAAGAGCCTGCTACAATTCGATCATCAGTTAAATCCCTTTATAGACTGTAAAAGTTGAGGCTTTGGTTAAGGGTAGGGCTCTGCTCAGACTGGGTTAAACGCACTATTTTAAGATCTCCAAACTGTGACGCTCAGTTTGGATTTGCCTGGCAAAATATTGTGACGATCATTACAATATTGATTGTGGTAAAAATGTTTGCGCGGTGAGTACTTCATGGTCTTGTCGGAATCTCCGATTAATCTTCCTAAGTTTATTATCCTAACTTTCATTTAGATGAAAATCCAATTCCATTTAACCCATATGGTTTTGCACCTCTGTGCACACATTCCACTGTAACGCTCAAATATCAAACTAGCGGTTCTTGTGTGCAGTTGTCAGTCTGATTATAAAGAGATGTGACGGAACATTTCCCGGTGCTTCATGTTCAAACACGAATCTGATGAAATATGTGGAGACCGAGGTGTGGTGACGCGCAGACGCCAAAGAATGCAAGTATCCAAGATTTCGATCTGCCTATATAGGTGCATCTGAGCTGAATATGATGGATCATGGGTGCTCTTCTTCTTTTTTACAACCATGCCAATAATAAAACCAAGATGTAGTTTAGGTCTAGCCCTGTCCATTTCTATTTAAAATCCGAATGGTTTGTGCTGAAGTAATCGCATCAATCATGTTCACTGGCAGAATGCTTTTGTTATTTTAACTATGATTATTTGGTAAGAGCACCTTTTAGAGGTCAAATTAAAACTATCTTCTACATTATATTGTGTCGAGATGGATTCCTAGAGCTCAGAGTAAAATTGGGCTTAAGTTTATCCAAACAGTGAGAGAGTTGCACAAACAGCCCTACTGCCAAATTTCCTTCATCTCCAACAGAGAATTCAGCCAAATATTGTACTTCATTTTCCCTGTTATATCTCTCTGACACATGTTGATCCTCCCAAGCAGAAGTCTTTTTCATGTTCAGCACTTTCCAAATGAATAGGAAGACCTTATCGAGGTGAGTGGTATTCAAACGGTGCCCATGCCCTTCCGGACTGACTGCCATTCCATCTGTTGACAGATTTTAATATCTGGAGGTATATAGTCTCTCCTTTCCTTTCCTCACCTCTTTCAGTTCAGTTTTCTGCAGTAAGGAGTGAATGTGTCTATGTGGGATAGAGAAGGAAGGAGAGGGCAGAGAATAAAACAAAATATATAGCTTAGCATTTGCCATTGTTGTTGGCACACTTTTTCTTAACCCCCATGGCTGCTGTCTGACAGTTAGTAGTTTGATAATGTGTATAGGGCTTTAAGTTTTATTCCACGCATTGCGTTGTGTAATGATCATTCACTTCCGCCTAGCAGCAGCATATTGTGCATTATTAGCATCCCTGCTGATTGAGTGCCTTGTCACTACGGCCATAATTTGCCAGTTTTTATGGGCATAAACTTGGTCGGCCATGAGTCTCCACTACAGTATTAATTCAGTGCAACTGAGCACAAACAAAAAGGCTATGTATTACCAAGTCTCCCTTATAGAGAGTGTTCCTAACAGGCCTATCCAGCCAGATATGAAGGGTCCTTCATGAGCACCATTTGCAAAGTTATTGTGTTCTACCTTAGATGCACATATGTTTACTTGCAAACCCTTCATGAGCACCATTTGCAAAGTTATGTGCATCTAAGGTAGAACACAATATGTTTACTTGCAAATCTGTGGCCTAAAACATTGTGCTGCAGTTGTTGCCACTTTTTATTCCAGCCGCAGGCTCAAGGACGGCTGATTTCCTGTCATGTATGTAGCCTTTGCCAAAACAAAAGCCAAAACACATACAGCAGAGGATATTCTTCCCTAGTGATGTCACTAAATTGTTAAGTCCAATGTAGCCAAGCTGCACATACCAGACCTCCTCAGTAATAATCCAAAGCTGTGGAATGGTGCCAGGTTATGTTGGCACTGCAATATCAGCCACATTTGGGCTTTCAGGAGATGAGAACAAGTGCAAAAACACTGTCAAAGTTTTACATTTTAATGGGTACCAAGCATCATAAATGACAAGCTAATACATTTATAGTTTTCTCAGTGTTCAATATCTGGCGTACTGTATGTGCATCAACAACTTTATTACAAATCACAGAGAACCTTTTAAGTCTAACCCTGTGTTTCTGCGGTTAATCAGTAAGTCAAGTGAGACTTCACTTGTTAACTTTTCACCATTTCTGCACAAGAACATGAATTGACAAGGATTGCACTTCACATAACAAGACCTATCTGAACATCAATAAATACCAAGGTTCTAATGAAAAGTATTTCCAATTATAACTGATATAACTTTTTTTTTTTTCCCCACAAAGCAAAAATGAGAGTTCAGAATTAAGTAGAAATAAACTGATTAGAAGGCAACAACCACTGGCTCCCATAGCAGTCTGTTCAAGTTAATCATGTATGTGTATAGTATACAGGCAACAGACTGACATGTGGTCATGTTACAGCAAGATTAGGTCTTATAGTTGCCCATTAGACTGATGCACAGTGTGACCATACACTTGTCTACTGTAATGCAGTTCAACAGTTCTGTAATATATAGGAATACTGTGAAACGTATTTAATATTAATTATCATTAGCTCTGTGTTGGAATTGATCTCTGTGGTAATTTGTAAAGCTGCAGTCAGGGGCGTTGGAGTGAATACACGACTGGCACCACAGAAGACCACCTTTTCAAGCTACGCCTACACACCCCATGCTACAGTAGATAGGGGTGCAACTAACAGTGATAATCAACTAATCACTTGTTTGTTTTGACTGTAAGATGTTAAACTTCTCTAAGCCTATAGAAATGACTTGTATTTGCTTACTTTGTGCAACCATCAATGCAGAACCTGAAAGTAGTCAAAGTACTGTCATGGAAAAGCAGCTAATCTTTACATTTGAGGAAGCTGATGCACTTTTCATGAAAAATGACTTCCTTAGCATAACTTTAATTTTACTAATAGGTTTATCAACTGATCACTGCAGCTCAGTGAATGTCACATCATTGAATGTGCTCTTAGCTGTTTGCTTGGAATGGACGTACTAACAGTTGCTGACTCTTGTTCCTGCCTCTGCAGGTTGAAACTTAATGTAAGTAGCTGAAGACAGAAGCATCTGCAAGGTGAATCAAGTGTAAAGTGCAACATTTTATACATTGCAGGAGGTTGTATGGTGAGCTCTTTCTAAGATTTTGCTCTGCGATTATATGATGGCAGACTTTCGCTATGATGCAATCCACTGCAGCACCGTTTCCCTGAAAGGTGCCACAAAAGTGAATCAACATTCCTGCATTACAAACATTTTAGTCATGTTTATTGTGTTGAGTGTGTTGCATTGCATTACATCATACAGGTACTTTTATTTATTTTGGCTGTTTAATAAAAGCCATCCACTATGTCTTCCTTGTGTAAAATAGAATTTAGATTTAACAGCCCAGCAGATTCCTCATTTTAAATCTTTACGTTAGTCATTTGTCACTATCCCATGTGTTAATGTGGTCGCCCTGGTCGTGTGTAGCTCCGCTTGCACGTGCAGCCGGGTTGGTTCATTAAGTCAGCAGACACATTATGACTCCACAAGTTCATGCCTTGTGCTGGTTCGAGCAGGTCTCTCACTCAAGATGCTACAGATGCAGCAATCGACATCTGTGGGTGTTTGTGAATCCACAAATCCATTAAGCAGTCACGCTTTGCATGCTTCGGTACGGGATCATGGATGGATGATAGATGGATAGATTAAATTATCATTGCTCTGAATGAGGACTATACTGCACCTTCGTGGCTCTGATTATTATGCTTCATCCTACTCAGCTCCTGTGTGATGGACTGACAAGTCTTCACTGCCAGGCAGGGAAGACTGCCCAGCTCTAGTAAAACAATGAAAGAAGAATGTTGTCTCCAATGAGCTTATCAACCTCTCAGGTTCTCCTGGAAGAACCTTGTCTGATAATCTGTGAGAAGACGTGTCACATGGGATGCGTGAAGGGTAATAATTATCTGCTTGACTTCCTTCAAGGCTTAGTGCTGTTGCGGATCATTATTCAGAGCCCCAGGGTAATAAATGCAGGTATTATGCTTTCATCCATTTGATATGTCAGCTTTCCGCTCAGTAGAACATAACCGGGGACGAGATACTTGTGAGAAAATGCTCTTCTTCTTTGTGCACTGTCACCTTAACCAGGCACTGCTGACTGAAATTAGTCAAACTTTTCAAGTCTTGCGTGATTTAAGCAAAAAACAATCTATTTGACGTTGCTGTGGAGATGATTATATTAAACCCTCAGATATAAATTCTGAGTGTGTTGTGTGGCACACACAACTGCCACAGGCTGGACTCAGCGAGACAATGGAACATGATTCCATATGAACCCTGTGTATTTATATACTGCATGAGTGTGTAGGAGAAAGCATTAGAGGAACAGATTTAATTCTGTAATCCTGACCTTTTACATCTTGT